TTCTTGTTAAAACAAGCGGGAATTGTAACCACACCATATATTTTGTAGTCAGCTTCGAAGGTGCTTTGTGTGACTATGTTATACCTGGCAGAAACACAGCTATTCAAGACCAATTAATTTGAATACTAACCTGTAAGCTGAGAATAAATTCTTCAAGAAAATAAGTAGGTTACCATCTGAATGAAATTTTTTCTTGATATAATGACGTAATAGCGAATTTTTGGATTTAATGATGTGATGATGGCTTGTTGAAGGTAGTTCAAAGTGAGCTGTAGTCATTCGTCTTCTTCTGTTGCTGACTATCAAGAAGGTATACTTAAAATTCTGAGTAAGCTTCTCACAGATTCCATTGTGTACCACTAATCACTTCATTTTTTCATATAAATGGGTACCATACACTGATCGATCATCTGTTTTCCTTTATGGCTGTGAAAGATGACCATTGGAAGTGGAAGATACATCTTTGATCAGAGATGTTTGCAGTCTGTCTTCCATGCTAGATGGTATAATGTGGTGAGTAATTTTGACGAGTACTCGATAAAGAGAGTGAATCAATCATTGAGGTTGTGAAGGTGAATCGATTGAAATGGTTACGATACGTGTTACGCATTCCAGGCCAGCACATCCTTCGCCAGACAATTTTGACTGAAGTAGTATTATGTTAGAAAATAGTTGGGGGTGATCAAACGAAAACCTAGAATCAATCCATGACAGTTGGTTTGAGTCAGGACTCACGTACGGAGGTGTAGGTAGCCTAGTTGGGTATTTGGATGCAGATGTATTCACTCTCTGCAACCTTGCACATTTACTAATCCATTACCCTGCATGGTTAAGTAAGGGACAAACAAAATCTATTCTCAGAACTATTCTATCTCATCTTGTGGATACAGAACACAAGAGTGATTTTAACGAGTCAGCTTTCATAGTCATTCACCACATGCCAACTAATCTTAACTTCGCCTTAAGAGTTCGATTACTAAATATTGCTGAGGCTGGCTGTTGGGATCCACATTAGGAAGCCCAATTTATGCGTGCAAAAGAAGCTAGTTCAGACATTGTCCTTACCTTGGTCATCTAGGTTTGAATGCTCCTGAATTTTTGTGGAATTTTCCTAATTTTAGTTGATATTCTATTTGCTATTAGATCTTTATTGTTATAATAATTTAAGCGTCTTTAATGAACTGTAATTCTATTGTGGTCTTACTTAACACATCAATATAATTTAAAAAACTCCAATATTTTTATTGACTTCTAATCTAGAATATTATATGTATATAAAGATATATACATATATGTAATTCTAGAGCCAGAAGAGGGAATTACCGAAAAAGGTTGTTCTATGCTCAATTGTTTTCTGTTATATATATATATATATATATACATATTGCATGGACGATTTAATCATGAGGTGACATCAGTTAGAAAACCACTGGAAAACCTGGGAGTACTGAACAACTGTTTCGTCCTAGTTTGGGACTCTTCATCAGTACGCACCCACCGGGATTCGAACCCAGGACCTTCTGGTTGCAAGGCGAGCTCGTAGACCATTGTGCCACTGGGACCCGATCCAATGGTCCTTGAATTCTAACTTCTGCCAATTCACGACAAAGCGCGACCACTTCGCAATGTCTTCTTCGATGAGTTACTGCCTCATCTTCAACCTGCTGTACCCTACTGGTCACGGCTTCCCACTAGAACCCCAGGTTAACTGCCTGAATAGGGCCAGTCACTAGTGAGCATCAGATTAATTAACCAATACTTGAAAATTATAATATATATATGTCTAGTCTTTAGTCTTCGTGCTGACTGAATTGTATTCACCAAGTTTGCGGTTTAATCGGCTAGCTAGATGACTCGTCATCATGATGCAGTCTGAATCGATAGTAGAAAATTGAAAGCACTCAGCAGGAAGCCGCGCATCTAGGTTTGCCAACATTCTCCAATGGACAGATGTCTCATCTCATTTTGCACTCGACATTGTTTACACCCTAAAGGAAGTTACTCATGAGCTAGCTAGTATAGCTCAGTGGTAACGTGTATGACTTAAGTACTGAGTGACGCGGATTTGAATATCCGAATAGACAGTATTTCCTTCAAAGCTGCAGATCCATACACCTTTCTGATGAGTTTTAATAAGTACGAAAAGATACAGAACATCTTGATACATTTTGACACAATATCTAGGTACTAGTGTGGTGAGAGCAGGCTGCTAGCCAAATCGGTGGACAATTATTTACGTTAATGTTTATGTCGCAAATATTGGTCGTGAGAAAAATGAGAACAAAGACTAATTCAACAACCAATAACAGCAGACTTTCCGTAGGCAGATACAGTTAACATACAGATGATCTGACATTCAAGAAACAGTTACAAAGAGATGAAAGGTCAACTTTCTGTGAGAAACAACCAATCAGAAGACTGTTTGTTTGCTTGAATAAGCTATAATAATCCACATGAAAATCTATAAATACGTGTTGATTTCGTTAATAAACGATCTGTTGCCTGGCTCTTGTCTTCTGTTGTTAAACTACTAACTCGAGTAGCCTTCAAAAATGTAAGGTTAATCTATTTTTAGGTCTGATCACAACTCTAGCTGAATATTAGTGCGATAAACGCTAAATTCGCGCATAAGGTAATTCTTATTATCACATACATCTAGTTATTGAATCGTACACCTTTGTTAAACAAGTTGATATAAACGCTTTTAATTATCGATTGACTAGAAAACAATACTGGTAAAATGGGCCCTTAACAAAGAAATCTTATAATATTATCTTAGTAATAATAATAATAAAATATAATAATAAATGGTTATCAGACTAATACAGTTTTTTTTTTTAAAAAAAACGATGGTAGAAATTCATAACAAACTGTTGTGCGGAAGTCTACCTATTTGCATAGTGTTTATCTGAGAAGTGTGTGCGTTAGTAGTTCAGCGGAAGAGTGCTGGTCTACTGTGCACTTGGTCCTGGTTTCAAGCCCTAGCCGGCGTGCTTCTTAACCTTCCTAAGCCAGCTAGCAACCCTACCGCGTGAAAAAAACACCACTGCTACTGAAACTTTAAAACGAAAGTTTGAAGCCCTATTTCCCACTGGGAACGTATAGGAATAGAATTAAAAGTCATATGAAAAGTGTGGTGCGATTGCACAATACCTTTTGGTTTCGACACTATATGTTGCCAGTCGGCAAAAGTTAGAATTCATGGGCCTGTCACATTGTAATATTAGGGATATTGTTGTAGGAAATAAATGGAATAATACTTAGTATCGTGGTGTCAGTTCTTCTTGGAAAACCAGTTGGGAGTACTCGACAACCAGCTGTTTCGTCAGTTCAGTTTGAGACTGTGCTTTAGCAGTACCCACCCACTACAGGGGTGCGAACCCTGAACCTTCTGGTTACAAGGCTGGCTAGTGATCTCGTAGACCATTGAGCCACTGAGACACGAGTTAATAGCTTTGTAACCCAGGAAAAAGTGAAGGTCGGATGTGAAGCTAGTGATACCACCCTGGAAAGTTAATCCAGTCGGTATAAAACATCAAAGTACAACAAAAATAATGACAATCAAACTTATTCTTCGCTGGAATCACAGAGACGAAATGACTCTTTGGGCTGGTGATAGTCTTTAGGTAGTCAGTCAGCCGGTGTGTCTTCTTTCAATGAAGGTAAGAATAAGAATGGGAACGTGGAATGTTCATACAATGTACGAGGCTAGCTGAAAATGCTGTCCAGGTGGTGAAAGAAATGAGAAGATATGGAATAGAAATGCTACGAATCTGCAGGAGCAGATGGAATGGATGTGGACTTTCCAGACTGTTAACTATAGTGTCAAAAATCTACTCCTGTCATCCAGATAACACACGCCAACATACTCTGGGGGTAGCTATCATAATGTCACCAATAGCAGCCGAAAGTCTTATGCAGTAGTAACCAACTTCCTCCAGAATAATGACAGCAAGATTCAATGTCTCTTGGCTCCAAGTAGGAATTGATAATATGTTTTGCTAATGGATTTTTGGGTAAAATACAGCCTATTTTCAGTAGTATACCCATTTTCAAATTCTCATGGATTCTTACTTTTTTATTATTATTATCATCATCAAAATATTAAAACATTAGAAATAATAATCATTCATTCTTTGAGTTTCGAGTGTTGCTTAGGGCTTCTGGAGCACATCTCCGTTCTGCTCAGTTATCTCTTCTCACATTCAACCAACTGTGATACTGTTCACAGGCTTTCATTTCTACCTTATATAATCTTCGCCAAGTCAATTCTCTTCTGAATTCCCCCTCGACAGCTTGACTGGAGTGTGATTTCCATTGAATATCTCTTCGATGTATGTTCAATCCATTTGCGTGTCCTTCAACACTTTTTATTGGATAATAAATTCTTCGTTGGTTCACCGCTCTGCCAAACCCCCTTGTTGTTCATCCTTTCTCTCCAGCCATCTTATTTTCACTATTGAGCCAGCGGAGGCGGCTTTTGGTGAAAGTTTCCATTGTTCTGTTGGAAATGTCTAAGGTGACAAGTGAGCGAAGTCTTTGAGGCATATAAAAACACAGAATTGACATTAGCTTCTGACCCTTGTTCTTTGTTTTAAGTACGGTGAATCAATACATTGAGTTTAGAGTAATTAAGGCCTATCTTACTTTGCCGATTTGATAATATTTAGCTTTGAAATCCTCGCTGTCTATGCTGTTTGCAGTTGCACCGATGCTGACCATATGGGTTGTAGGGAAGACTTCCTTAAGATGTCTCCTTGTTGACGACGATTGATGTTTACTGTTGTTGACCAGTCGCCTATCTTCATCACCTCTACCTTCACTGCCTCTTCTGACAGCTAGTTGGTTTTAAATCTTAGGGTTTGTGCCGGAAATAATATACTCATGATATTCTTCTCAGTTAAATTTCATTCTTATCCAATAATACTACTTAAATAGATATATAAATATATGGTCTTTTAAAGAAATATAAACTCTGCGACATATATTTTATTTTACAGTGAAACATATGGAGGAATCGATTCAGAATCTGAAGGTGATCCTTTAGCATATAGATACAGCTCAAGTGGGAGCAACCACCTTCATCATCTTCATCCTAATCAATATCAGAATGTCCGACAACTCACATCAATGGATTCTATGTCAAATCCGCTGATTACTGACGACAGGATCACGGATCATTCAAAAATGAATCAGTTCATTATTGACGAATTAAATACAATGAAACATATGAATAATAAAAATATATCTAACAATTCGATGAACAGGCAATACTATAATCCCCAGCTAACGAACAATAATTTCCAATCACAAGGTCAACTTAACAATTATTTCCGTCTTCAAGATTTCCCAACATTTTCTCATAATAGTAACAATAACAATGGTAATAGTTTGAATGAAATACCAACAATTATCAATAGACAACCTATCAATTCAAATTATCCGCTAACACATTCAATGTCCAATAGTAACGAAAAGACAAGATTTGAACAAGAAACCATTCAACCAATGAATCCATTCTTATCTTATGTTGTACATGATTATGAGAAAAGTGTTTTAAATTTAATGTCACAAGAATTAGGCAACACTATGCCCACTTCATCATATCCATCGAATACAATAAAGTTATTGCCAACATCGAATTCATCTTCATTCAGTTTAAATGATAATCATGTTAATTTAAACAAGAAAACATGTTCATGGATAAATTATCCTATAAACGAAGGTGGATATGACGAAAGCTGTGTAAATTATACGCTCAGTAATAACAACAATAATATAAATTCTGTAATTCCTTCCATTTTAACCACACACTCAGTATTAAATAACTCACCATCACAGATGACAACAGTGCATAACACACTAGTATGGTCTACAAATCAAGACGTTAAGCACACGAGAGCTTCTTCATTCATCCCTCAAAATTATCCTTCAACAATTGATGAAAGCTCATGTGATGAAAGTTTAAGTGATGATAACAATAATAATAATAATACTAATCCCAACAGTAGTAATCATCAGTACTATCAGTCACATATGTTATATCCTCCACAATTAAATTCATTTAATCCATATATTCAAACCTCTTCAATTAAACCACCCACTGGCATAATATCACATAATAATAATAATAATAATATTGATTATTTTAATGAAAAAATCGATTTAACCAATTTAAATTCAAGGATTCAATATCCTATTGACAATGATACTATTGAAAATCAGACTAATTTAACGCCATTAGTAAAACAAACTGTAAATCATAATGATTTCAATAATAGTAATATCACTACTACTACTACTACTACCGCGCAATTCAATATTGAAGGTAACACTACTTTTTCAAATTGTACACATGATCAAACATTTCGACAATGGTTGAATGATTCCCTGACAGTAAGCCAAGTGAATCATTGCACAGATAATTGTCGTATACCTGTTCTTCTATGCCCGAGAAGTATGTAATTATTGTTGTAATATTGTGTGTAGAAATATATTTTTTTCTTCTTCTGAAAACGATGTATCTATTGATTTTATTGTGATTTATTTTCCTCACCTGAACAATGAGTAATAAATAACTTTCCACCGCCTATACTTTTGAAAGCATTAAAATATTCGTCGTTTGAACGGTCTTTCTTGTATCTTGTACAATAAATGTTGTCACAATCACATTACTATTTATTGTTATTTAGATTGTAAGAGTAAAAAAAACAAATGAGATATTTATGCACTATAGTTTCATAAATAAATGCTGTAAATTATGTATATACTACTTATTACAGAAAAAGTAGTGTATTTCTGTAGAGATAAAAATTGTTCGGATATGCCAAATGTGTTTAAGTATTGGTTTTGTTGGGATTTTGTTTGATAAATTACAGGATTTCATCATCAGCTGACATCAGTTGGAGAGTATTCAGAAAACCAGCTGGAAGTACTGGACAGCCAGCTGTTTCGTAGGCCTAGTTTGGGAGATTTACTGTTCCGCTACCTGTAACTTGAAATGTCTAATCTTTGATCAACTAAAAGTATGGATGTACTATATGAGCAATAATTAGTAGTACATGATTAGTAATCATAAAGAAAAGAAGATGTATCAGGGAAGAAAAAAACTATTTTTTGACGAATCATTTTCAAGAGATACTGGACAATTGCAATTTATATTTATTTTTTTATTTTTATTTTTGATTACAGCTTGATTCCACACTGTATTTTTAGTACAAGTATGGCATTTTCAGCATGGATATCGGTAGCCCAGATTTTGCAGGCCGACCATAGATATCAGGTGTTCGTCGGCGTGGGCTCGAACCTCGGACCATGTACATGGTCGGCGAGAGTCCTAACCACTGTGCCACCGACGCACAGTGCATAAAACCAATCAGATGACGTCAACTGTGTTCTGGAAAATATGTTACACAATGTGGAATGTGATCTAGAAAAGGATAACTAATTGGAGATTAGCAAAAAGGAATGGGATTTAGTATTACGTCATAAGCGTGAAAAGTGACTATTATTATTATTCCCTTTAGGTTCCGAGTGGAACATACTGCTTCAACAACACATCTCCATTCCCTTCTGTTCTCAGCTGTCCTCTTCAGCTGGGTTCACGATCGACCATAATCTCTTATCTCCTATTCCAACTCACACGATCTGCTCCACGTCACCCTAGTGCCTACGATCCATCAGTTGCATCCCATTGGGATTCGACTCGAGCGATGACCTGCAATGTGCACTATGTCACTCGACGGTCTTCATACCGTGTGCCCGGTCTATCTCCATTTTCTCTTAAATGTTTGTTGAGAAATAGGGTCTCCCCATTGGTTCGTTCCACTGCTGAGTTTCCCACTGCTAATTCTTTCTGGCCAAACAATCGTCAATTTGGCCTTCAGTATGGAGCCAGCGTAGACAGCTGTTGATAAAAGTCTGTGATAGGCTGTTGGAAATCCTTTTCGTGACATGCAGTGCAAATTTCTGACCCATAGAGAAGCACCGACTGACTGACTTCACATTGGTATTACAAATCCGAATCTTGTTCTTTATGCTGGCTGTGTGAGTGTAGGATATTTTCAAACTGGTTCCACGTTGATGAAGACGTATCTTCACTGTCCGATTTCAGCTGATGTTGATATCTTCATTCATTCCCAATGACTGTGATTGAAACTGTGCTTCTCAGATAAGTGAAGGAAGTAACCTCCTTCAAATCTCTTCGATGTCTCCCTTGCCTCTTCTGCCAGTTTGTTCCCTTTCGTCTGTAAGTCTTCAGGTTTTTGTTTCATTGAGACATATATCATCCCCGAAATTCAGATCTTCTAGTCTCCCTAGAGACTTTCTGTCTCCTCGCTATCCAAAGTTTGATGTATAATCCAGTCTGCTACAATTAAAACTAATCTGACTCCAAATCAGAAGGCTGCGTGTTCGTATGACGCCGGGCTGACCAATCCTAGGAAACCAGTTAGTTATGCTGCTTGAATGATTCTGAACTCATTTCCAGTTGATTTCGACCATATATAACGCTCATGATTGTTGTAGGGCTATCAAACCTATTAGACCTGAAAGCTTGCCACACTACTTTCTAACTCTTTAGCCTGGTTCACTTAACCTGGTAGCCAGGCTGCTCTTAACACCGCCTCAACTAGCGAAAGGAGAATGTAACACTTACAGCTTCTGAAAAATGTATTTATTTAGGATGTCTCTTAAAAATTACCTTGACCACAATGTCTTTCAATCTGCACAGATAAACAAATTGATTGTTAACGTTGAGACGGTTGAGGTTCAGTTGAGATGATGAACTTCTCCGATCCCCTACAAACCAATCTAGATGCACAAGATGGACTAAAGCTAATGGAAATATGGTAAAGTATTTATGCTAAATCTGTACGAGAAATGCGATGTTATTAATAAAGAATAATAGTGATAGTAATAATTATAAAATACTAATAAGAAACTAAAAAAAATTATGGCAAGAATACCACTCTGCCACGATAAGGCAAGTGAGTGCATATGATGCTTTTGAACACAGACGTCTTAATTCAAGTCTCAAAATAGCCAGTAATTTGGCTATGTATAGATTAACATATTCGAAGTCCTTTCATATGGTACTGGGAACTCCGTTAAGCACTCATGAAAGGGTGCCTTCTGTCCAGAGTTGACAAGGTGGTCAAGGATAGAACTGTTGGTATTCTTCAATTCTTCTCTGGCTAGTCATGTTAGATAGTGTTATGAGAAATAAGTTTACGGACATGACTCTGTGTACAATCGATATACTTTACTCCCCAGGAACGGGAAAATTGATAAATCAACAGTGAGATGGACCAAATCGGCGTCTTGCCGTTATGACTTGAATAACTAACTGTCTGCTGGAGAATGCAGTTCACAAAACGGTTGCTTTAAATGTCTTCTTCAGACACTTTGCTTTGTGGTTCCCGAAAATTTCTACTTCAGTGTCACCTTAGAACTTCTAGCGTATCAAGAGAGATTTTTAGGAACAGTTACAACCTTCATCGACTGTAAACGTAGAGCAGATGTTTTTTAGGGTTCTAGAGATCCATCTGTCTAAAATATCCACCGCTTTGAGACTGAGCAATTTTCTTCCCTCTGACTCATCATTCAGAGTAGCTCATAAAACTAATACAGAAAGATAAGCTTACTTACCAAACGAGAGTTGTATTACTTTCAGTAGTAGAAGAAACACGAGAACTGCAACATGTTCACCATTAATATCCATCCTTAATCTTATCTGATAACATTCTGAGACAAAAACTTCCATGATCTTTCAGATCTCATCCAGGGAGTCATGAGGCAACAAATATCATTTTTTATGAGTTGGCCCACAAATCTTTAAGGACTAGCAAATCAGTGAACGGTGTGGAAGCTGAGAGGATGTCTCACAAAAGCCGATGTGCTGAGATGACACTACTCCTACTGAGAGATGACTAGCATCTCTTTTCAAAACATACATCATCAGACCTCGGGACTAAATACATGATATTGACAATGAATGTCACCAACTCTAAGATGACTGTGATAATCATACATGCAGATTAGCCTGACTGGTTTCAACATAGAACTTTTCACCAATGCCCAGCAGTTCTAGTCGCCCCACTTTACTTAGAACGCAAAGCAAGATAAGAGAGTAAAAAGAGATTCAATACCGAGATATGAGGCAAAAAAAAATAGTTATATGGAAGAACCATTTAGTTTTACTGGGTATAGTAAGTTACAAGGAGTGGATGCATCTGCACCACCCACTGAGAAAGATTTAGAGCCAGCCATATCACCAGTTTTCTCCAGCCTTCATTGCTTTTTACCATCCAGAGGAACGCAACCAGTCAGGAACTCTAGATCTCCCTACATTACTGCCTATATTTAACTATCTTGGACTTCATTGACTGATGAAGCCACTCATGTTTTGGTTTGACCACCACTGGCTAGCCCTTTTCCAACCTGCTCCAACTTATGTCAGCTAACACTGCCCGTTGGTCGAGGAAGGTGGTGGCTAGGCATGCATGCGTAACCCATGTCCTAACCATCTCACTCAATCGATGTATTTTCACAGCCTCGTCGATTGATTTCCCCTCCCTCCTTACCTAGCACTCGACCGATACCTAACCTCAGTATTGCTCACCCTTTTATACCGTTTTACACGTGATATAGAACACAGGCAAAGACAGCTAATCGGCCTTTTCATGTCTTCCACTCTCATAGCAGGGAGACTAGATTTCATTGACTAAGGAAAAGAGTGTATCAACAGATGCGTTTTAAACAAGAACTTTGATGGTTAGACTAACATCATGATATAACACTGTTACCAAATGCTTAGCTTAGTCACACTCCTCCTCATGACAATGCTTAGCTGTGATGAATCAGTGATAGGTTACTTTACTGTAAACTAAAATTACTGTAGCGTGTCACTCACTCTCCTAAAAGTACCAGTAAACTTAATTTTGCTTGTAAACCAACCAAGAAGAAAGAATATGGATTGTGGATTCTAACAATTATACGTCACTGAAGAAATCTGAAAAGCGTTAGCAAGGCAGTTGTTCGTATTTCTGAGTGCTAGACTATAAGTGATATCGAGGAATGCTAATTGACCACCGTGAATCACCTTGATTGGAGAAACGACCTGCGACTATAAGGCACTGATGGAAAGTCGGTTTCCTAGAATATTATTATTATTATATCCTTTAATTCCTAGAGGAACATAGGGCTTCAGCTGCGCGTCTGCACTTCATTCGGTTTTCTGCCAACTTTTTCACCCCGCTCCAAGTCTGCCCACATGCTTTCATCTCCTCTTCACATGACCTCCTTCAAGTCACCCTCGCATTGACGACTAACTCACCACTTCCCTTTCGGGCTCCACTCGAGCGATGGCTTGTCTAGTGATGTCACTTGATGGTTTCCTCAGAGTATGGCCAATCCATCTCCATTTCTTCCTGCCTATTTGTTTCACAGTCGGTTCCTGCTGAGTTGGTTCTCTCATTGTCAGAGATCCCTGTTGCTGATCTTTTCTGGCCATCTGATCTTGAGTAGTATTAGGCGAAGACAACTGTTAATGAAGATCTGTAGTTTGTTTGAGATGCTCTTTATGACGCACCAAGTCTCTGATCCATATAGGGAGTAGCACTGACTTCACATTGGAGTTGAAAATCCGGATGTTATTTTTGATGCTGAGTAGTGCTGTTGACCTCCACACAGACTTAAGAGTAATGAAAGCTTGTCTTGCTTTTCCGATTCTAGCTTTGATATCCT